GAACCGCACTAAGTAGCATCCGGGAGTCTTGGGCTCCAGCAGCCTCTCAGCCTCCCTGAGGGGAATGGAGGGAAGAGGCAGCGGGCAGCTCTGACTTGGCCACCTGCCTCTGTCTCCCCAGCTCTCAGGAGGGACCCCAAGCAAGCACGCTGCAGTGGCTGGAGCTAGGGTGGGGATGGGACAGAGAGGACGTGCACTGCTCTCTTACTGCAGGGACAGATGTGGCCAGGGGCCCTCCTCAGGACACTCCTACACCCCCAGCCTTGCATCCTTCCCCAGCCTCGTCCTGGAAGGCCACCGGAGGGGCCGGGGCTGCAATATCCATGGGAAGAAGACTTTTGGGTTTCAGAAGGCACAAGCTGAACCAATGAGGTGAACAAAGGAGTGCAAAAGAAGTGAGGCTAAGGGCCAGCTAGTGGCGTGGTGGTTAAGGTGCTGATCCCACATGGCTGTGTGCATGGTTTGAGTCCCCGACTCAGTGCTTGGAAAACGCTGGGCTGTGTGCATGCCCCAAATCCCAGGGCAAATGGAGGTGAAGGGATTATGGCATGGCCCTTCTTTCTGGAGGGTGCTTTGTCATTGTCCTCCTTTGCCTCTGTCTCTGTCTCTGGTAAGTGCTTGCACCCTATAGCAAATTTTAAAACATTAAAAAAGACTAAGAAGTCAGGCTGAGAGGTGGAGGAGGGAGGACCCACAGGGTGGGAGGCAAGAGGCTGGGGGTGGCTCTGTGGCACGGTGGGAAGGGGCTGCCCGAGTGGTGGTCCATCCGTGTGGAAGACGCAGGGCCGGAGTGGGCTGCCTTGAACATACTGGCTAGCTGGGTAGCTGGGAGTTGAGAGATCCATGAGACTCTGTTGGGGGTGCTTGTCTCTCTTATTCTCATGAAGGAAATAAGTAAACTTAAAAAACGAAAGTTGAGGGGCCGGAGGGTGGCATGGTGGTTGGGGCCCTGAACTTTCTCGTGGTCAATTGCATTTCGAGTCCCGGACCAAGTGACTTGCTTTCTCACTTTCCCTCTCTCTTCTCTGTCTCTCTCTGGTCAAATTAAAAATGATGGATGGGATTAAACAAATCATTCTTTTAAAAAATAAATAAAATAAAAGTAGGTGAGAGAGGGCCAGCAGGTGGTGTGGAGGTCACGGTGCGGGATCCCAGGTGGCCAGATTTGTGATTTGAGTACTGGACCCAGTGGATTGAGAATCGCGCATGCGCACACATGCTCAAAAATGCTCCAAAGAGAGTGGAGGAGAAGGGATTGCTGCGCGGCCAAGCCCTGTGTGGGAGAGGTGCTTCCTCACTCCTCTCCCCCTCTCTCTCTGGCAAGCACACATGCTCTATAGCAAAAACTAATTAAAGAAAAAGAGGGCACGCCAGAGATAAGATGGAGCAAGAAACAGAGGTGGCGGGAGAATGTCTGAGGCTGGAGGCCACAGAGACAGGGGGACGAGGAAGAGGATGACGAAACCTAGAGAGGGGAAACTGAGGCACAGGGGGAAGTGGGCTAGAGGCTCTCCAATGATCTCTCCCAGCAGACAGGCCTGCGAGACTCCAGGAGCCAGATCTTAGAGTCTCAGCCTCAATTCTCTCCTGGAGACCGCAAGACCCAGAGCTGGCCCCCGCCGCTCCCTCTGTGACTCACCTCCGGGTGATGAAGCCGTGGAACCAGGCGGGGGCTGCCCCGTGCTGCAGGAGCTGGTGGGCCTGAGTCTTCTGGAACCACTCCCAGATCTCGGCCTGCAGGGAGAGACCTCCTTCCCCTGGCACCTCCTCAGCCCTGCCAGCATTCTCTGGGCTGGAGGCGGCCGCTGGGGCCTGGGGAGACACCTGGTTGGGAGCAGAGTTCAAGGAGTAGGCAGCAGCTGGGATTAGCAGGTTTTCTCCGGCCTCCAAGCCATCTGCCACCTTCCCATCCTCAGACCCAGCCCATCTGCCTATTTGAGGGTTTGATTGCCCAGAAAGGCCTTCCTAAGGTCTAACTTGAATCCCTCTTCAGCTCTAGCTGTTTGGGTTTCTAGAGACTCTGCTACCACTTCCTCTGGGTGCTTAGGGCCTTCACAGGAGTAGTGAGCTGCTCAGCTGTGCTTAAGTAAGGGGAGAGGCAGCGAGGCCCTCCAGATGGACCTGAGGTCACTCCCTGAGGGATGGGCGCTAAGGCAGGGAGTCGTCCCAGAGGCCACAGTGGGGAGAGACTGCCCTCCACAGCAGGGGCTGAGCTGGTTTGCAGGGAAGGGTCCCAGATGACTCGGGGGTGGTGGGGGCCAAGAAGGACAGGACAGGATCTGGAATCGCCTCCCTTGGCATGGGGAGGAGATGCCTGTTTCCGAGGCTCAGTGCACTGAGCGGGCCCATCCTGTGGGCCCGGCCTGAGCCTCCTGGGCAGAGGAGCAGCGGAGGCAGAGTGGGCTCCGCACGTGGACAAGGGTCTCTCCACGTCCCTCCTTCCCTGTGCACCAGCCCTGCTGGCTATCCCGGATGTTCCAGCTTCCCTCTCGGTGACCTCCATCCACCGGCAAGTCCTCGCTGTCACCAGGTGGGAGCAGGCGCGGGAGCTGATCCCCCAGGTTCCCACTCACCACAGCGTGGACAGCAGGGACCCTGGGGTTGGGCTGAACTTCCTCTGCCTTTGGGGCCTGGGGCCTGAGCCCCGGGAGCGGGAGCAGGTCCGGGCCCTGGCAGCTCTTGTGGGCCACGCCCGTGGGTCGGAAGGTGCTGAAGGTGGGAGCAGGGGCTTCGTGGCTCTCTGTTAGCACAGAAAGGGCTGTTAGGGTTTCTCAGAGAGAGGCGGCCTCCTGCCACCCACCCCAGGCTCAGAGGGTCCCCTGGTGCCTCTGACCAGGGACCTGGAGGGCTGGGATGGTAAGAGTAGGAGGGACAGTGGGGGCACTTCTCAGGAATGAGTACGGAGCTAAGGCCCAGGGGGGCTCTCAGGGAAGCTGGTGCCAGGAAGGACGGCCTGGGGAATTAGACTGGCCTTTCTGCTGGCCTTCTGCGGGCTCGGACGTCCCACAGTCAGAGAGGCAGACCTCTCAGGACAGGCCTCTCCCCTGGCCCAGGGTATCGCAACTTCCACGCCAGCCCATCCCCGCGAGGATGAACTTCCTGCCTGTCCTTCTCCCTAAGAGGCACTCAGCAAACCCTGTCACCTTCTTCCTCAGGGATGAATGGGTGTGGAGCCCAGTGGAGGAGCAGGGGCTCTGGGTGGCCTGCCAGTCAGCCTGCAGGTCCGGGTGGGGTGCGGCCCCCCGCCCTGAAGTGGGTGCTCAGGATCAGGAGAGAGCAGCGGTGGTGGGGGGCGTGAGACCACCTCCCCCTCACATTCTTGAACTTCACACTTACCTTGGGGGCATGTCTGGGCCAGGGGGAGCTCCATGGGGGCTGCTGAAGAGGGCCCCCCAGCAGGGTGTGTGTATGTGCTCGCAAAAGGGGTGCACAGTCAGCAACTTAGCTGCTCTCGCCCCGGCCCCCAGGGCAGGAAATGTCGCTTCACCCGCAGCCTGAACCCGGGCAGGGCACCTGCGTCATGGAAAGTCCCACCCCCGGAAGCTGGGCGGCCCAAGGTGGTGGTGGTGGGTGTTGGTGTCACTGTATCTAGATGCTGGGAAGTCCTTACTGCGATCTGACCGCCATCCCTCCTGATTCTTTCTCTTCCCTCGCCCCTGCCCGGAACTTTCCTTCCTCTCTCTCTCTGGGTGTCAGCTGTCTCTCTGGAAGATCTCCACCATCTCTTGGTCTGTTCTGAGCCGTGGGAATGGGACGTCAGCCTCAAAAGGAGAAGCCCGAAGGAGTGCTCAGGGCTTCTTAGTCACGCTCAGTGTTATGGGCTGCAGCGGAAGGACGGGTCAGACGCTGGAAGGACGTAGGGCTACCCGGTGGGCCAGGGGCTGAGGAGGGCCTGGTGTCCATCCTCGCGCAGACGGTGGAGCTGCAGCAGGGCAAAAGCCATCTCGGAGAAGGGGAGGGGCAGGGCCTTGGTAGCGTCCCCGCTGTGAGCAGACCAAAGCCATTTCTCTGATCCTCACAAACTGGGAAAGGGCCGGGACATTATCTTCGTTTCCCCAGAGTAAACTGAAGCTCAGGGACGGTCAGCGCCTTGGCCAGGCTCGCTCAGCGTCTCAGAGGCTGGAGGAGCTGGGACTGGAGACGAAACCTCTTTTCGCTCATTTCACTGTCGTTTAGGCTCAAGGTCCATGACACCTTCTGATGGATGCCACCTACTGAACTCGGTGCCTAGGACCCAGACAGGAAAAAGGGCTTTGTCTCAAGATGTCGGGGGTGGGGGGAAATGGACGTGCCAAGACATTCATCGTGGCCGGTTAGGGGTGTGGGCAGGTGCTGTGGGGGCCACTCGGAGGCCCTTACTTCAGCCTGGGGTGTGTGTCTGTGTGTGCGAGCGTGCGTGTGTGTAGGAGGTTGGGATATCAGACAGGAGATTGAGGGAGGGCGATTAGAGTTGAAGAAGGTGAGGAAAGGCGGTTCTAGAACAGGGGCCAAATTCAGAATGGGGAGGATGAGGAAAAGGGAACTGCAGCTAAAAAAAAAAAAAAAAGAGATGCAAAACAATGTGATGGGGCCAGACAGTGGCCCAGCGGTGAAACAGCTGCCGTGTGAAGCGACTCCATATGGGAAGGTTCACAGTTCAAGTCCAGAACCCTCCCTGAGCATGTGGGCACACATGTCACTTTGATCTGGGGCTGAGGGTGGCTTGTGGCATCGGGACCCTGTGGGGGTACTGTCTTTCTCTCTTTCGTAGATTAAATAAATAAATACACTTTAAAAAACAACAAGAATAAACAATATTACTACTTTGAAAATGAGCTGGAGACCCAGCCTGTGGCATGGGGGTGAAGGTGGCTGGATTTCACATGGTCCACTGTGTGTTTCAACCCCAGAACCAGTGGCTTGAGAAACATGTTGGGTTCACACGTGTGCATGCATGCCCAACATCTCAAAAGGAAGTAGAGACAGAGAAGAGATTATGGTGACATTGCGGTCCGCGGGGGGTGGCGCTTTCTTACTCTCTTTCTTCGGTGAGCACATGCACTCTTTGACAAAAACCTTCTTTTTAAAGAATTATTTTATTTAACTTTATTTATTTATTTAAATTTGACCAGAGAAGGAGGGGAGGAGGAAGGGAGGGAGGGAGGGGAGAGAGAGAGAGAGAAAGTGAGAAAGCAAGCCACCAGGTCCGGGGCTTGAACCGTGGTCGGCCATGTGGGAGTCCAGCACCCTTAACCACCACACCCCTAGGAGGGTGTGTGTATGTGCCACCTGCTGGCCCTGACAAAAATTTTTAAGAGAGAAAAGAAAAATCTATTCATTTTTTTCCAGAAAATAATTATTTATTTATTTTTATTTATTCATTCATTTATTTTAATTTTACCAGAGACAGAGGGAAAGTGAGAAAGCAAGCCACCAGGTCCAAGACTCAAACCGTGGTCGGCCATGTGGGAGGGTCCAGCGCCCTAACCACCATACCACCTGCTGGCCCCAAGAAACATGAATTTTTAAAGAATCAAGAATCATCTCACCCAAGATCAATAAAGTTTTAAAAAATGAGATGTAAAGAGCAACAGCTAGTTGCTTGACAGGCATTTTCTCTCGCTTTCTCTCTCAAAGAATTTATTTACTTATTTATGTATTCATTCATTTATATTAATTTGACCAGAGAAGGACAGAGTGAGAGAGAGGAAGTGAGAGAGCAAGCCGCCCGGTCTGGGAAGGCCGTGTCGGAGCCCAGTGCCTTAACCATCATACCACCTGCCGGCCACTCTCTTTTCTAAAGAATTACTTTATTTAATATTTTTATTATTTAGGATTATTTTATTTATTATCATCATTATTATTGTTTACCTTGACCAGAGAAAGACACAGAGAGAGAGAGAGGGAAAGGGAGAAAGCAGGCCACCAGGTCTGGACTCACACTGCAGTCAGCCATGTGGGAGTCCAGCACCCTAACCACCACACCACCTGCTGGCCCCTGCATCTTCTCTCTCTTCAGGGCGGTGCGAGGTGAGTTCACGCCTTGGAGTAATACCCAGAGGAAGAAAAGAGAAGGCGGAATCTATCTGCCTGGTGCCCTCTGGCTTCCCTCCTCCCATTGATCAAGGTTTTCCCATAGGGACTGACTTAGCGGTTGTGTCCCCAGACCTCGGTGTGCACTCTGGGGCCATGGTGTGGGCTTTGACATGAACCAGCACGGGGGGTGACGCAGAGAGCTGTGTGCCGTGTGATGACCGTGCTACCCTGGGACTTCAGCCTGGACTCCGGTCAGTTCTGGCCGCTAAACAAAAAGGGCTCCGTAAAGGTGACAGTGGCTTGGCGACAGGCAGCGCCCCCGGAAACAGAGCCAATTAAGATTGTAAGTGTGCGTGCAGGTGTGTGTACACATAGTCCTTCCCTGTGCCCTCTCCTGTACCCAGCTCCACACCACAGTGTCGGGGCCCTCAAAGACCTTTCCGCTTCCTTCCTTACCCCCGAGAAGGCAGGCTTGGGTCTATTCAGTCACAGGGCCTTCTCCAAGGGGGTGGTCAAGTGTCTTTTTTTCTTTTTCTCTTTTTTAGATTGTTGTCATAGAGCACATGCGCTTGCACGAGAGGAGCGGGACAGAGAGACTCAGAGAGAGGGAGAGTGAGAAATCAACCCCTGAGGGGATGGCCATAGTACAGTTGCTTCTCCACTCTCCTTTCAGGATTTTGGGCATGCATACACAAGTGCCTGGTGTGATTTTCAAGGCACTGGACCCAGGACTAGAACCACAGTAGGTCATGTGTGAGTCTGGCGCCTTAACCACTATGCCCCCTGCTGGCCCCTAGAGTGTTTTTCTCTAAGACAAAGGCAAGAGGATTCGTGAAAACAAGCCAACAAAAACCCCTAGATCCCTCATAGATCATTTCCGTCCTGCTCCATCCATCCCAGACCCCTGTCCCCACCTCCGGTTAGCACTTCTCATCCGGGCTTTTCCTGCTGGGGCGAGCCGGACCTTCTCTCCTTGAAGATGCAGACCCTGGCGGCCCTGCCCCCGTCGGTTGTCACAGCAGCAAGATGGCCCAGCAGTCGCCATCAGGCATGAAAGGACTGGAGGTGCCCCGGAAAGTCCCTGGTGTGAGACCGTTTTCTTGCCCCTGGAGAGGCCATGCCAGCTCGCGATGATGACCGTGATGGTGGTCATAGCCAGAGTGGAAACTTTCTTTGTTCTGTTTTTAGTTTGGCATATAGTGTTTGTGCTCTCTGCAAAGACAGAGAGACAACGAGAGCGAGAGAGAAAGTGAGAAATCACCCCAGTGGGGGATGGTCACAACATGCACTCTTCTCCTCTCTTCTCTTCTTGGGACTTTGGGCCTGCATGCACATGCACCTGGCCTAACTTTTTTTTTTAAAGAATTATTTTCTTTATTTATTTATTTATTTATTTATTTATTTTTACAAGAGAGGGAGAGAGAGAGAGAAAGTGAGAAAGTAAACCGCCGTGGGGACCAGCAGGTGGCGTGGTGGTTAAGGCGCTGGACACTCCCACATGGCCAACTATGGTTCAAGTCCTAAACCTGGTGGCTTGCTTTCCCACTTTCTCTCCCTTTCTCTCTCTGTCTCTCTCTGGTCAAATTAAAACTAAATGAATGAATAAATAAATAAAAATATTTAAAAAAAAAAAGAAAAGAAAAGAAAAGAAAGCAAACTGCCAGGTCTGGGACTTGAACCATGATCCGCTGTGTGGGAGTCCAGCACCCTAACCACCATGTTGCCTGCCACTCTCCCCTCTAAGTGTAACTTTCAAGCTGCCGAATTCAGGACTCATACTGTGGCCGTGAGGGATCAGGTCACCTCAACCTCCACACCATCTGCTGGTCCCTAGCGTGGGAAATGTCTCTTGATGGTTGGTCCACTGCATGAGGATCTCAGTGGAGAGAGTGATGGCAGTGGCAGCTGCCGGTTTAATGGAATCCTCACTATGGCAGCTGGTAGAAGTCTTCTCCCTCGCTACTAGGAAGATCCCAAGGTTAGGGTGAAAGGAAGCACAGGTTCACAAACGAATCACTGGATGTGACAGTGAGGTGAGTCATTCCCAGTTCCAGTCCTCGGTACCAAGATCTGTGTGTGTGTGTGTATATATTATATATATATATATATATATAGAGAGAGAAAGAGAGAGAAAGAGAGAAATCATCCCGGGGGAATGGTCACACCACAATCTCTTCTCCATTCTCCTTTTGGGATGTTGGGCATGCATGCACACACGTCTTGTGTGTTTTCCAAACTGCCAGGTCCAAGACTCGAGGTTCAGTCGCTTTAACTCCCATGCCACCAGCCAGCCCAGATCTGTGTATTCCGGTATAGAGGGCACAGTACTGTGTGGTGAGCGTTGTTGTAAAGCTCAGACTCCACCCTGCAGGAGAGAGCTCCAGTCCCGCAGAGGCTGTCTCCAGATGGCGCCTTCCTGAGCTTCCGGCCACTCCCACCGCTCCATCACTC